TTTAAGTTAGTTTATGAAAAAGCTTGATTAGTTTATGAATGATAAAGGCTGGCTTTAATATTTTTTTAAAATTATTTTAATTTAGTTTAGAGGGTGGAACAGCCAAGATGGACCAATAGGCCCCTTGTTGTCCCAAAACATTATGTTAACAGTATCAAATATTTTGTTTAAATACAGGACAGATAAAGCAAGACAGGAACATTTTTTTTTTATGATTACACAGTTATTGTTAGAAACTGAGGACCCTACAATCATTCTTTAACTCTTTCAACCCAGACTCGGTCACTGAGACTGACCTCATAACCATTTTGTGCTTGTTATAGTTTTCAAGCTATAACTTTTAAATTAGTAAATGAATGTTAACAAAATTTGGCAGATTATTAGTAAACATTACAATGCTTTCACACGCAAAATATCAATTTTTTTTTTGTTAAATCTTAAGGTTTGTAAAGCAATGTTTTTCTTGTGTCTTTTTTTCTCTTCACATCTTGCCTATCTATCATACAAAGTTATTTTCATTTTAAGATTTAAAATACTTTTATGCATCAGAATATTTTGAAATTTCACAAACTACATGAAACTACAATTATTTATCCTAAATAGCTTTAACTCTCTCACCTCAAGGTTGATTGAATTGACTGACTTTGTAACCATTTTGTACTATAACCTTTTTTGTACAATATGTGTATCTTCACATAACTTGGCAAACTTTTGGTAAACATTAGAAGTCTTTTGTACACAAGAAAATCAGATTTTTTAATGAAGTATTTTTACTAAAGATTTGACCATGAATATATCAAGTCTTTTTCTTTACTAGTTGATTTTCATGTTAAGATTAAAAATACTTCTCTTTGTATCAAAAATCTCAATTTTTATTTGCATAATCTCTAAAATCTCCTAAATAAATATCAAACGTTTTTTTCCCAGTAAAACTATGTTTTATTTGTTATTTTCTCTACCCTAACTACACAAGGTTGGTCAAATTGACGAATCTCGTAACCACCAAATCAAAATTCGAAATAAGTCTAAATTACCCTTTTTCTTTCTAGAATGACTTTAAATTGTAACGTGAAATTACATTTGTTTATCCTAAGTAGCTTTAAATTCATAACAGTATACATCTATTTACACTTAAATTGTATTGTTTTATTGCCCTTTTAACCTTGTCTAACTAATATTTGCACCATATAAGTTGTAAATCACATGGCAAACATGCAACTCATGGTAATGAATAACATAATGCATAGACTACTTGCAAGTATATCTCATGAAAAATTATTCTTTATTTTAGTTACTTTTATAATAATAAGTGAAGAATACACATGAAATACAAGAAATAAAGGTACTTACATGGGTCTTCTTTCTTTCTTTTTGCTGCTGCTGTCAACTATTGGTGAAACTTAATCCTGCTCTTTTTATACTAATGATACTTCTGCACTAAATAATTTTTTATTTAATAACTAATGCACCAAAGAAAACAGGATAATAACATGTAAGAAGTAGACAATGTCTTATAATTATCATAATTTTTCTGGATTTCTAAATATGTGACGAGTTCTTAAAAATTCAGCTAAGCTTGACGATGTGTTTTCTATGGGAATGAAGTTTGAACTGGATATGAAATAGACATTTCTCTGTACAGAAAACAATGTAATATAATATGTCATTTGATACATTAAAAGTTTGGATTTCTATTGGTTATAAATAATATAGTATTAAACATCAGAGAGAACTATTGGCTATTTGTGAAACAGGATGTAATAGATGGGCATGGCAATAGGGGTCTGATTTCCTAGTCAATGGCTCTGTAACCAAATATGATTGAAAGGTAAAAATTGCTTTGCCAGAGCAATGACAACATTATAGTGAGTACTTTATGTTAAAACTTCTTGCTTTTTGGAGAGGTGGTGAATAAATTAGAGAAGTGGGGATGCCTAGAGAGCAAATGTCATTCTCATGTTAGAGGAAATTGATGGTATTTTTTCAATATTGCCTTATAAAGATGCCCGTATAGAAAGAGTTAAAGGTATTCAGGGTGATCCTCATAGTTGACAGTACTCTCATCCATTGTTTGATTAGCAAGTATCTCAATTTAAATTAATGAAATTAGGTATTAGAATGCATTCAGAATTTTTAACCATTTTTTTTACTCCATTGCCTGAATGCACAGTTACCAAATGCAAACTGATACTTGCCATAGTCAGCAAGAATTAGCGTTCTTTAAATGGATTATTTATTAGCTACGTTTTGATGCCAAGATTATCCATATACCACAATAATAAAGTACTTTAATTAAAGTTTTAATATACCTCACTAAAACCTTGCAATGTGCAGAAAAGGATGCCTGTATGGAAAGAATTAAAGGTATTCAGGATGAACCACATAGTTGACATTACTCTCATCCATTGCTTTATTCACAAGTTTCCTAATTTAAATTAATGAAAATTTTTGCACAACTAAACCTAAAACTGCCTTGGAGAAAAAAAATCTTAAGAGGTTCATGGGCATTACATCACAAATATTTCATTAGTATTTCCTTTTAAGGTTCTACGATCATTTTTCAACATCATATAAGACAGAGGGTAAAAGGGAAGAAAATTGTTAATTTTTATTTGATGTAAGAGATTCTTTTTTGTAAGATAATTCTCATCCTATATTCTATGCATACCCTATCTTAGAAGTTTGTTACATTCCAAAATTTATGTCAGTGGTTGTTAAGGGAAATAGACTAGTTTAAAGAAATTATTTGGTGAATTGGACACGGTGCATTAATAATCACATAATTATCATCGTTTAGTCATTTGTTTGAGTTAACTCTAAGATTCCGGGATGCATCTCGCGTGTTGTATGTGTTTTATTGTACTTAAAAAAACATCACTGGATGAAATAGTTTTAAATTTTAGGTGAACTTCCCACAGATTATTTAGCTTTTGCAAGTGAAATATTTTTATATGTGATATTTGTATGTATTCCCAGCTTTCAAAATTCGAAGAGTTTTCATGATATGTTTTTAAGAAGCAATTAAAATGGTTACCTTTATTGTAATCTTAATTACTGATTTTATACCTTTCTCCATTCTTGTAAAACTCTCCTATACAGTTTTTATTTTATGAAACTAATTTTTAACTGTTTTGATTTGAAAAAGTGTACACAGTTTCACTGTGTTTATGATTACTGGCATATAACAGAAATTACTTACCTTACGAAAATTTATAAGCAAGTTGCCTTTTTTAAAATTGTTAATAAGAAGGTTTTATTTTATATATAGTGAGTATTAAAACAATTTTATATTATGTATATATTTTATTTCTTTGTCTATTAAAGCTGTGGCTTAGGCCAGTAAGGCCTAATACAAACATCGTCTAACAGAGCAACCTTGTCAGTAAAACAAAACTTTATAAGGTTGAATTCCATGAAAAACATTTCTTTAAAAAAAGAAGACCATGACTGTAATTGTGGTAGATGTTGTTCACAAACATTTTTTCTTCTAGCATCATATTATCAAGCTAAATATTTATCACTTACTTATTATCTCTGTGCTAATGTGTTGAACTGTAAGCCATATTGTAAGCTACATTTGAAAAGAACAAAAACAAAAGAGCTTCCATTACATTTTTAATCATTAGTCTATGACTTGTAAAAGCTGAGTTATAGGCAATTACATGACACCATGACAAACAAAGCTGAGAAATACGATTGGCTAGAATCAAGAAAAATACACATGTATTGAAGTTTGTTCAAAATGATTTAGAATTTCCTCGTAAGGGGCTGAGTTCCATATTATGCTCAGAAAAAAATTAAGGAACTCGCAAACACCAATGTTTTTGTTTGGAGTGAGCTGCAATTAACCTAAAATCGAAATTTGTGTTATTTTTATGTATAAAATTAGATCAATAAAGAAATTATTATTGAATATATTTCAACTTTAAAGGTGTTTTTAATGGATAGAACAATGACTTCAAGTTTGTGTTTTATCATTTTTCTATAATTGAATGGTGCTAATTTCCCTTTAAGAGAGGATGTGCCCATCTAGGCATGATAAGTAATCATTTCATAAAGAAGGATTTTGTACTGTTGGATTGAGTTTATTTATTTTTTTATTTTGTAGTGACACTAATGTAGGAGATTAAACTTTACTTAGTTCCAACAAATGCTTGAAGTTGCAATGATTGAATCATTAGAATGCTTTGAAACTTGTATAAATATCACCTTAATATCATTATGAACTTGTGATATCATTGAACAGATTTGTCTCCAGAGAAATTTTTGATGGAAAACTGATATCTTCAATATAAAAAAATAAACTTTAGTGATTTAAGTAGGAAATATCCTCTGTACACATTCCGAAATGTTTTCTGTGTGGAGGCTAAAATATTTGTTTTACATACTTTGAAAACTACCATTTACAAAATTTTTTCCACATTACTGAAATTACTATAGAAGAAAAGGAACAAAATCATTTGAATAATGTATACCAGAAAAGAAACCCAATCGAGTTAATCAACCAACTCTAATATATATACACACACACACACACACACACACACACACACACACACACACACACACACACACACATATATGTATGTATTATTTTTCTGTGTTACATCTGAATTCCAAAAATTATTTCTAATTATAGCAACTGAATGATTTTACTGAAACATTATTTTTATATAAGAATTTTTATCTCATCACTTGCGCCTTTGTTGATAATCCCTTTTTTTCCTAAACAGTTTTTTATAGTCTTATTTCTAAATTTGCATAGATCATACTAGTATGTAATTTTGTGTGAGTTTTTATTTATTCTTGAAAATAAACTGTGCTTAATAATTTGAAATTTCTTACAACCACAAATGTTAATTGTAGTTCATTCAACCTTCAAAGTATAAAAGCTAACAAGAAGATATGGTGAATATTTAATGAGCTCCCATTTTATGTCAAAAATAACTGATTATGCATTGAACAGTTACCAAATTACAGAATTAAACTTTCTTGAGTATTGAAAACTATTGCATTTAAGAATTTAACGTTCCATCATTTTAAGATGGGAAAGTTATGTAAGGAATTAAACTTTGTGTTTTGCTCTTTTTTTTTATTTATTTTGATTAACAGAACAGTTTCCTTCATTAATAAATGAATTTAAAAAAAAGATCAGTTGTTATAAATTTGTCCAACAACTTAAAACTAGAAATAAATGACCTTATAACACCAAAATTTATTATTTTTTAATTAGACACTTAACATTTCGCTTTACAGCTTCATCAAGAGCATTCCACTAAAACACAAACTAACTGACAAGTACAAAGATGTCTAAAACTGAAAGACTTAGTCATACATGTAGAATCCAAAACATGAAAGCCAAGTGAAGAGATAAGAGTCTATAAAACAAAATGTTCAAAACAAATGTCAAATAAACAGTCTAAATCACTTTGAAAGTATGGCTGTAACAGAGGATAAATTTGACCTTCAAAGGTTTGGAACATATTACTGACTGAAGGCTCAATCCTTCAGTGCTACTAATTTCCATAATTGAGTAATGATTTTATGTTTGATTGAAAATCCATTTATTTTTCAGGTAATACATATAAATGACATAAAATAATTGATATGTAGTTTAAAAATGTTATGTAGAACAGTATACATATTTTTGTTTTAAATAAAAAAAATATTTGTGTACAGATACTTGTTGCTACTTGCTATACTCGTATAGCTACATATGGTAAGCTTGCATTTCAGAAGCACTCTATTGCAGCTACTTAAAAGAACTGTAGCTGACTTAGGCAAAACAAATCTTTATCCAATAAACAGCATTACAGAACAGAGTAACATGGTTAAGTTAGAAAATAAATATGTACCTTTATTTATAACATAAAGTTACAAGAGGGTGAGTGTTATTATCAGGAAGGCACTTTTTAAACAACATTATTAATTTAAATAAATGTGCCGTGGGAGTGCTCCTTTTTTTCCATATCAAAAGTATTAGTGTTAACATATATTGTGTATTTCACATTTATTCTACCATTACACTTCCTTTTGTGCTTTAGGTATTCAGTACATTTTATTAAAGCAATGCAACCACTAAACAATCTCCACTTCCTCATACTTTATCATAATAGTTTCCTTCAACCTATGGAATGAGCTATTACATATAATGTTTTGGTGGGGTGTTTTGTTTTTTAATACGTCAACTTTTGTTTAAGTAATAAGTGTTGTACAATTCAAAAGATTAATTTTTTCCATGTGAGTAACATTTAATGTGATTACTATTCAAACATTGTCAAATTGTTTCTCTTACAAAAAGGAAAAAACTGACATTGCTTGTATTCTACCTGAAACAAACCTTTGAATATATAGAATTATTCTTGGATTCCTGGCTTGAAAACGAACCTTTGAACACTGTCCTGCTTGAAAGTGAAACTAACAACTGCAGATAAATTGCATTGAAAAATAGTGTGCTGAGCTGTAGTTTAAAAATTTCCAGAGTTGCATACAAACACAGGTGTAAATTGAAAGCACATTGTAGTATGTATTTGTGTTGCCAATTTGTTCATCTACATTGTTTTTGAGCTAATAAAAATTTACTTGTGAAGCAGTAACAAAATTTAATAATATTTTATTATTTTACTGAAGGCACTCACTATGTCCATCCCAGGAACAGCTGCATCTAATCAGATGGTTCTTGGTCAGACAACTCCAGGTCTCAAACAAATTAATCTTGATCAGATTTGGGGTGACCTCAAGGCTGGTATTGAACAAGTGTACGTGCATAAACATGAAAGCATGTCCAAGAGCCGATATATGGAACTGTATACGTATCCTTTGGTGTAGCATAGGAAAAGAAATAGCTTTAAGAAGCAGTAGTTACTTATTGAATACCATTTATTCAAATTGCACATAAATACCATAGTTGGAGATTAAGAATTTTTTAAGTAAAGATTTTAAATCGCTATATGTAGCAAGAATTGGAAGCCAGAGATCACTATCAACAGAAGCTTTTACTGTCTAATCAAATTCACTTTTGGGTTACTACTTATGTGCTATTTTGTTTTGCATTGTTATAGCCTGAAGAGTTATTTTACTTTAATTATATACGCATATAAATTCTATCAAAACATATGCTTATAAACCTCACAAATAAAAAATGTTGATGAGGACAGCTTCGTACCAAGTAAATTATTCCAATTTACGTACTAATAATGATTTCAGAGTTATAAAGTCTATAGGATGTTACTGCCGGGAAAAAGAATGGCTTATAATTTGGTTTCTTGGCTGTTATCTGAAGTCATTATTTGATTGCCTCTGTTATTTGGTTAGATGAGAGATTATGCACATTTTGAAAATAAGCTAATTTTTCATATTAATCTGGAGAGTCTTACAGCATCAGAGGAACTGAGAAATGTATTGTTTTGTTATACTGATGTTGCTGAGAGGAAAAAATTTAAAATAAGGTAAAGTAGAAGATATTGTAAGCAGTAATTGACAGTTGTAGAGTAGCTTCACTGCTTAGAGGTGTAGAAGTGTCTGGAGAGAGTAATTGCAACAATACCCAAAATTGGTGAAGACTCTTCATTAAAAGTCACCAGAAAGTTAAAATCATAAATAATATTCAACGTTGAACTGGTACAACTAACCAAAGAAACACACACGCACACACACAAAAAAGGTAATTATTTATGTGTGTGTGTGTGGTAGGGGAGGATTTATAAATGTTAAAAATAAGACTGTTCTGATGTTTACCCTCTAATTTTCCAGTGGAAAGTGATCAAGCTTTTCTGAAATGACTGCTTTTTTATGTTTATTTTTAAATTTTTATAATCACCAGAAAGTGTTCAAATAGCCCTCAAGAGTTAAGATTTCAAGACCTAGAAAATTGCTCCCACAGACAAAAATATGATGTAGTAGTGACGAGACAAAGATTTCCTTGTGTACGTTTGGTATGGAAAAGTTCATCATACCTGCATAAGACAGTTTTTTATTCTGAGAATACTGTTTCTTTGTAAAGAAGAGTTGTTTTTGTGTTTTAAGCATTTTGTTTTAAACTTCTTAGCATTTTATTCCTTTTAAAACAATGCATATATGCACTATTGGTCTAAAACTTCTATGAATATTTGTTTTGTTTCTTTATGGAGAGATTAAACTAGTAACATATAAAGGAAGGCTGACATTTCAGTAGAATCGGTGTAAATATCTTATTAATTAAGTAATTTACCTCAATTGAAATCTGCGTATTATACTTTCATCATGAATATTGACAGAGTTATTGGTAATTTTGAATTTTGTTTTCAATGACAGTGTGAAATGAATAGATGTTAGAGATGGATGATTAGTGTAATTTACTAATTAATTAATTAATTGTTTGGCTCATTAATCGATCACATTCAACTAAACTGTTATTCTCACATAAGACTTGGACTGTTAGCACAGTAAAAAATAATAACGATCAGCAACACTACTTTAAATTAATTGATTATTTTCATGATTCATGGCAATAATTAAGTTGAACAACCTTGAATTAATAAAAAAATGAGTAATTATAATGGCATACTTAGATAGATCAAAAACAGTAATAATCCAAAACACTAATTTTGATTGTTTTACATGACGTTAATTAATGTAATTAAAACCCATAGGTAAATGAATAATGGATTTAATTTCCCAGCTCTAGTATATGTATTAAAATAAGATTTTGTTTGTCATATCTAACTTTCAAACATTTAGAATTTTAGCTGTTGAATAAGTTGATGTAAAATAGTTATTTGAAACATAGTTTATTACATGAGGGTTTAAACAGTGAAGTTGGTTTGATGGAAGAATGTTTTTTAGTATCATGTTTTAAAATATCAATAATTAAATGCAAATTATAAAATTTGAGAGGCAAAATTTTTTGAATAAAGAAAGGTACTGAAATTGAAGGATTTTAGTATAGAAAGTGATGTTAAACTTGAATTTCTCTGAGTACATAAATTACTCTGATCAGAATTTATTATTTATAGAACTTCATTAATACTAGTACCAATGTAATATTTATGTATTTTAAAGATTACGTCAATACTTAGATTTTAAAACTAATAAAGTAATTAAGAAAGCATTCTGGTTTTGTTAATTTCTGCTATATAATTGACTGAAGGAGCACGGGTTTATGCAGGCATAACTTTTGTATTTAAACACTGCTGCATTTTTAAAATGTTGTGTTTCATAACTTCTGTAAACCATTTCTCTCACTCAGGTCTTGATAGTTGTCTTTAACATGGGACAAAAAAACTTGAATGTATAATTAAAAAAAATGACTTCATTTGAGAGAAAAAACTAATTATAATGTAATAAACTATCAACAAGCCTTGTATTACTGTGTAAAAAATACATGTAATTAAAAAAAAAAAAGATATATGTATAGAAACAGTTTACCCTTCAAAAACATCTAGAATACATGCTCTTCCAGAACAACTAACCAAAGAAATGCATACACACATAAAAAAAAGTAATTATTTATGTGTGTGTGGTAGGGGGAGGATTTATAAATGTTAAAAATAAGACTGTTCTGATGTTTACCCTCTAATTTTCCAGTGGAAAGTGATCAAGCTTTTTTGAAACGACTGCTTTTTTATGTTTATTTTTAAATCTTCATCTTACTTACACATATACTTTATTTTTCTAGTTTTCAACTACATGTTCTTATTATTAAGTTATTATCTCACAACTTAGTTTGGTAATTAGTTTTTTACTTCAACATAAAATCTGTGGGAGAAGGACCAAAAGAGATTTTACTTTAACCTATATGTAGGCATGTATATGATTACTGCACTAGCGTCCACCAGTCTGGGCCTAGAACAGCTGCCACAAAGTCAAAGAAAGGTCAACCTCCAGGAGGAGCTCAGTTTGTTGGTCACGAAATTTATAAAAGGTTAAAAGATTTCTTGAAGACCTATCTAGTAGACTTACTTCAGGTATTTACTGTTTTCATTAAACTAAGACATGTCCTGAAAAACTTTTTCGTATATTCATAAGAATATCGCATACAAAAAGTATTTTGTTGTAATGTGGTGTACTAAGCAAAATATATGACTTGGCATAGACAATTAAATTATAGCTTCCATTAGAGAGTAAATGCTTTTACATAGATTTATAATGCAAGCATATTTTCAATGAAACATTTAACTGTGAAGTATCATCTTGATGAACTGGAACATGTTAATGTAATGTATAGGACTTACCTTTGTGTAACGCGTGCTTCTCTATTTTTCATAACTTTTCCTAAAAACTGCCCTTAGCAATGCTTAGAAGTTTTGAAGACAAAACATAAGCTAACATAAAACTGTTGCATTTTAAAAAAGTAATTATAAAATTTATATTTTAAACTTATTTATAATATAGGATGGAGTAGATCTCATGGATGAAGAAGTTCTGAAGTTCTATACCAATCAGTGGGAAGAATATCAATTTTCTAGTAAGGTCCTTAATGGAATATGTGCCTATCTGAACAGACACTGGGTAAAGAGAGAGTGTGATGAAGGTCGCAAAGGAATTTATGAGATTTATCAGGTTTGTTGTAACTTTTTTTTGGTTGTGGGGAGGGGGGGGTAATGAACTGACATTTAGTCATTGAACTGGAAAGTAGTGGATTATTTCACCATCATCACTATTGCTGGTGTTAAAACCTATCGTTAATGTTGAAGATGGTAAACAAAATGGTAATGTAATAGCCATAGATGATGGTTTTATTGATAAATCTAAACTAATGGATTTGTTCATCAATTATCCACAATGTAGTGTAATATAAAATAAACTTGTTTGATTAATCCCACATTGTCATTGTTCGTGCATTGCAACAACCTGTTTCTGTGAAGTTATACATAGTGTAGTTTACTATAATTCCAACTTTACTAAGTATTTTCACAAAATTTAGTAAGCTTATAGCAACATTACAAATATGTATTATTTCACTTTTATAGTAAACTATAGTGTGAGTAAGCAGGAGTATAGAGTAGGGAGAGATAACTGCAAAAAATTATATTTGATTTTGCCTGACTTGTGTAGTGAATATTAGTTGCTTCTCTGTTTCTTCATAAAAGGTATCTTGTTTTTACTTCTAGAGTAAAATATTTTGAGATTTCATTAGGTTAGGAAAAATGACCTTTATACTCCAGATAATTATAAGATAACTGGAGTGTAAAGGTAATCTTTTTCTAACCTTTTGATATATGTGTAAATCACTCTTGTATGCACTACAAATTTCAAAAGACAACAGAAATATATTTCATGAGGCTGTTATAATTTTTTTTTACATTAGATATTGATGAATGTAAAGTTTTTATAAACTATATTGAAATATGAAGTTGTACCTGTTTTATTAATAATTTTTATTTTTCAGCTGGCTCTTGTGTCATGGAAGGACAATCTTTTTAAACCTTTAAACAAACAGGTAAAGGTATAATTTAGATTCAACTCTTTTTACAGCTCTCATATTATGACCAGCATCATACAGTTTTTCAACTAGTTGATTCACCTGTTATTAGTTCAGAAACTATGCTTTATAAAGTGTAGAACTATTAAAAGTAAGATAGAAGAAATGCTCATCTGTAAACAAGCCTGTTTTATATTGATTAATCTAAACTATAGCCAATATAAATGTTATCTGGTACCAATTGGGCTGAAAGGTACTGATAGTACATGTAAATGTATGATAATATTTTGTAAGAAAATTATTCTAATGCATTAATACTTACATTATCTATGAAAATAAACATTCAAAATATATAATGTTTTCTTCTTTTGTTATAAATTGAATGATTTTTCTTATATAACAAACTAATTTGGAAACTCATCAGAATTCTCGGGTTGTTTTAATATTATTTGAACATTATAAAGCAACATTTAATCTAACTTAGAGGGTGTATTAATATAATTTAAATCATTGTGAATCAAATTCATTGCTTGTCAAAATATAGTGCTTTCTTTTGGTACTGGAAGTGATAAAAATAATTATTTAGTTTTCGTGATCATACTTTGTGAAACTATGACATTCAGAACATGAATTTTAAGTTTCAGTATTGAATTAAATAATATAATTTTAAAAACACTGAAAGTTTTATTTCAGCAGACACATTTATTTTTAATACTGGCATATTGACATTAAAAGTACATAACTGAAAATGTTTAATTTAGGTAACTAATGCTGTGCTGAAATTGATAGAAAGGGAAAGAAATGGAGAAACTATTAACACAAGACTCGTCAGTGGAGTAATGCATTGCTATGGTAAGTTTTAATTACTGTTTCATAGATTGCTCTGCTATGTAGAATTTTTCTTGGCTTTAAATATCTTGAAAAGTGAGGTTTAATTGAGAAAATTGTCCTATAATGAATTTTTCCTCCATTTTAAATAAAGTTAGTTTATAACATTATTACTGCTTTCTATAAACTATTTTAATAATTATTAGTATTATATGCTTATCACAGAATTATTTCACCTGATCTTAAAAACCAGCCTTTTCTTAATATTTCAGTTATTGTACTTTATGTGCAGCACATAGAGGCTGAAATACAAAGTGTTTGTTTTCATCTTAACATGAGATCAGTATTTCAGTTACTCTGTAGTTTTTAACAAATATCAGATGCCTCTGGTTAGTAATGACTTGTTTTCATTAATACATTGTCAATATAAGGTTTTGTTTGAATTTAATAGAAAAATTTGCAAATTGCACATTATTTTTCATAAACAGTTGAATTAGGGCTGAATGAGGATGAACCGACAGCTAAAGGACAGAACTTATCAGTTTACAAGGAATCTTTCGAGACTACATTTTTAGTAGACACTGAAAGGTTTTATACAAGAGAAAGTACGGAATTTCTACGGCAGAACCCAGTCACAGAATATATGAAAAAGGTATATATATGGGATTATATCAGCAT